CGAAGTATCAAAGGCGAAAGACAGTCCAAGGTTCAGCAATCGGGAAGTATAACGAAGGGGCAACAGGCAACAAGAGGATCAACAGGGAGGCTAGGTGTCACACCATAAGGTGGAATAACTCAGCAATAAGCCAGAGCTCAGGCCAGGTTTGTATAGCCAGGGGAGGTAAGACCACCCCCCGGTCAGCGAGGCAACCAGGAGGCTTCCCTCCCCGGGAACCAATGGCAGGCGAGAGAGATGGAAGGTGTGTACTGGGAACCTCCCCCAGCAAGGCTCACACCTGATGCCTAATGGCACAGGACCGCTACGCGCGCGCTTCCGGGGCTGCGCGCGCAGCCCGCATACTGCGCATGCGCACCCGCCGCGTAACTCGCGCATGCGCACCAGCAGCCCGGCCACCAGGAGTTCTACCAAGCTGAGGGGGAACCCGTACCCTGCGCCGTGCCCGTGGTCCCCGAGCAGAGGTAACACCCCCGGCTTCCTGACAGGGGAAAGCATTCCATTTTAAACACTAATATCCTCAATCTCTAGTTATGCCCAAGAAAAAAACTACAAGCTTCTCATCAGATGGTACAAGGATCCTGTATTGCTCCATCATATTTTATCGACTGTTTCTGACATATTTACACATAGTTAGAGATATAATGCTGACTTAGGTTTGCATTTACATATATGGTGAGGTTTTCTTAAAATACTTCCCCCATTCTGGGACATGGTTTGTGAAATGTATAATGACCTCTATGGGACACATCTCTCTCCTACTCCGAAAGTGTCCCTTCTTTCCATTTTTCCAGTGTCAATTTCTTCATAGAAATCACAACTATTATGACACTTGCTGGCCGCTGCTCATGAACTTATGCCAATGTTCTGGAAATCACCTGCTACCCCTCCTCTTTCCATTTAATGATATTACCTTGCTTTGTTAACCACTTCAGGACCACCATATGTATTGGTTGTACCAAGATCACGGGCGCTGCAGCCGCTAACTTGATATAACTTTTTTCAGCACTTGAAGCTTGTCAACGTTTAAGTGATCTCAGTGGCTGTACACTTACAAAGTTACATAGTATTTTAGGTTGAATAAAGTGTTATGGAGTAAAAAGTGTATTGCTGATGTTGCCATCACCATTGAACATCTTGTACATCAAAATCATATCCCCCTCTTAATCTCCTCACTTCCAGCATGAACATGTTTAAATTGAGTAACCTTGTCTCACATCTTTGGTGCTCTATCCCCTTAATTAGTTTAGTTGCCCTTCTCTGGACTCTCATCCAGCTTAAGGACATCAGTTGCCTGACCACTTGTGTTAGCCTGCAATTATGAGGCCCTCCCCCCCCGTACCCCTCCGTCGTGGTTTCCAGGCCTTACCGCTCCTCTGGGCCCAGGACAATGGCAAACAGTGTAAATATAGGGAGCAGGGGCAGACTGAGGAACATCCATTCCTCAACCTGTGTGATTACTAAAGCAGGAAGCGCTGTGGTCTTAGTGCTTCCTGCTTCAGTGCTGTCACAAACCCGGCTGAAGTGCTGGGTAAACAGACAATCAAGCACAATCCTCTGTATTGGAGGGTAGGGGAGACATAATGGGTCTAAAGGTTTTGACCTTTTTGGTAACTTTTTATTTTTTTATGTTTTTGCATTTATCTACTGGTTGCTAGTCTGGTACAGTGGTCTTTGTTGAAGAACTAAATCTGTCTAGTTTCTAACGATATATCACTTTAGAAACCATGGCCCCCCTGATAAGAGACCTGAGAAGACCTGGTAACTGTGAAAAGGGAAGTTTTACAAGACCTGTATACTGTGAAACAAAGAAAATTATTTGTTTTATCTTAGCTGATACAAAATTAAGACTGTATGTCAAATTCTATTTTATCTTGTAAAAACTTTCCAATTCAACTCACTTTCCAGTTCAGCTATGTTGTCCTAGATTGTTCCCTTCTCCTGCCTTCTCCAAACTCTTCACCCTTTTGTGAATAGACCTGCTAGTGATAACACCCTGAACTAAAATACTATCTTTAGAGAGAGGACACATATCCCAGAACATTTGTTGCACAGTAAGTGGGATGGGGAACTTACAGAACTTCCTTGTTTCTGGAGGGAACTTCTTGTCAGTAACATCCTCAGTGAGTGATGGGTGTCCTCCCTTTCTTTGAAATTCCATTCTTGGAATATAAAAGATTCAGGGCTCAATTCCAAAGGAGCTAAATACCTCATGAAATTCTGAGGTAAAATATATGTATTCTGTACAATTCACTAAAATCTATGAATTGTTTACCAAATTAGATATTTTTTCAAAACATGAGGTGTTTATCTCAAAATGTAGGCTTTATTTTTTCTCTTTTTTTTTTTTTTTTATATGGTCGTTTCCAGGGAACAAAAGGCATGTTTGCAGTCATTTGCATCCATAACATTAAAAACCAGCCAAGGCACAAAAAACGCTTTTTATTTGGTCCCATTTTTGCTTTTGGAATGGCATTCTTCTCTGTATCGTCCTTTGGAAGAACTTATATTCCAGCCGAGACACAAACAACGCTTTTTATTTGGTCCCATTTTTGCTTTTGGAATGGCATTCTTCTCTGTATCGTCCTTTGGAAGAATTTATATTCCAGCAATATGTTCTCAAATACTTCCATTGACTCAAAATGGAGGTTAAGAACACATTCACACTGCCACCGGCTGACAGACCGCAAACACTGATTGACTGCCCCAGCCTGGTGATAATTACCTCATAGCTTTTTTTTAGTGAATTGACTTTTAGGGCTTGTTCACACGACGTCCGGATTCTGTCCGGACCAGATCCGTGCGCCCAATGTATCCCTAAGTGTTTTATGGGCTACAGTTCTCACGAGCGACAGAAAAAATACTGCATGTCACATTTTGTCCGGTCCGGAAACACACGAAAACACGCCGAAAACGCACTGCACTGCAGCTAACATACTGACAGCCCCACTCCAACCAAAATATATATATATTTTTTTTTAACTGGAACACATCAAAAACGCACTGCATGCATAGCACCGCGTCTCCAGATCTGGACCAGAAAATCGTGTGAACAAGCCCTAACCCTTTCACTGGCACCAATGTATGTCATGTCGCTGGCAGCTGGCCCCTTTAAGCAGACTTCCAAAGGCTATAGTTGCCAGGACTCTGTTTACATGTGGACTACCGCCAAATCGCTTCCAGGGGCCGGTGTAAGGCGCCCGACACCCCTGCCTTGCTTTCTGGGCTCTGTTGCTACTCCTGGGGACCTGGGACCAGCATCACAGGT